TTTTCTGTTGTTTTGTTCGCTGACGAAGGCTTTCTGCCGACACGTTCGCTGTTTTGTTGCGTTTAATTTTTCAGGTTTAACCATACTCTGTTTTACTCATTTTATTTTGTACTAACCTGATTGCAGTCTCTCCCCTTATTAACACTTCAGGCAGTGCCCCCCGCCCCCCCCCCCTCCCCCGGAGCTCTATCTGAAAGAAACCCTGGACTCGTGAAGTGGTACCGAGTTTTAAAAAGTAACACAGTTGCGCTGTCTATTTTTACGAAACATCGCGACCTGGAAATGCACCGTGTTGAAGAAATTGAACGGTTGGTCCACCGGTCAGTTGATGCATTCGCCCTACAAGAATGATTCTTAAAACTGAACACCGGCGATTCTTCCTTTCACCGATTGTTGGAATACATACGTGCATTGTCGTACCAAACACAGGTTGGACAACGCTTGACCAGAGTCAGATGTGCGAGGGATGATGGTGCATTCCGGTGCATGTCGCTCGAGGATCCAGCTTTGTACAGGAATGGGTGGTAGTCCGACTATTTGACCAAACTTCCCCATCCGTTTACTGACTCCCTCCCTTTCCAGTGCGGTGAATTGTTCTACCAACAGACAGCAAAACCATATAACTTGATGCCTTTCTTTACAGTCTCTCCCAGAATTGCTTTACCAACAGACAGCAAAACCATATTACTTGATGCCTTTCTTTACAGTCTCTCCCAGAATTGCTTTACCAACAGACACCAAAACCATGTAACTTGATGCCTTTCTTTACAGTCTCTCCCAGAATTGCTTTACAAACAGACAGCAAAACCATATTACTTGATGCCTTTCTTTACAGTCTCTCCCAGAATTGTTCTACCAACAGACAGCAAAACCATGTTACTTGATGCCTTTCTTTACAGTCTCTCCCAGAATTGTTCTACCAACAGACAGCAAAACCATGTTACTTGATGCCTTTCTTTACAATCTCTCCCAGAATTGTTCTACCAACAGACAGCAAAACCATGTTACTTGATGCCTTTCTTTACAATCTCTCCCAGAATTGTTCTACCAACAGACAGCAAAACCATGTTACTTGATGCCTTTCTTTACAATCTCTCCCAGAATTGTTCTACCAACAGACAGCAAAACCATGTTACTTGATGCCTTTCTTTACAATCTCTCCCAGAATTGTTCTACCAACAGACAGCAAAACCATGTTACTTGATGCCTTTCTTTACAATCTCTCCCAGAATTGTTCTACCAACAGACAGCAAAACCATGTTACTTGATGCCTTTCTTTACAATCTCTCCCAGAATTGTTCTACCAACAGACAGCAAAACCATGTTACTTGATGCCTTTCTTTACAATCTCTCCCAGAATTGTTCTACCAACAGACAGCAAAACCATGTTACTTGATGCCTTTCTTTACAATCTCTCCCAGAATTGTTCTACCAACAGACAGCAAAACCATGTTACTTGATGCCTTTCTTTACAATCTCTCCCAGAATTGTTCTACCAACAGACAGCAAAACCATGTTACTTGATGCCTTTCTTTACAATCTCTCCCAGAATTGTTCTACCAACAGACAGCAAAACCATGTTACTTGATGCCTTTCTTTACAATCTCTCCCAGAATTGTTCTACCAACAGACAGCAAAACCATGTTACTTGATGCCTTTCTTTACAATCTCTCCCAGAATTGTTCTACCAACAGACAGCAAAACCATGTTACTTGATGCCTTTCTTTACAATCTCTCCCAGAATTGTTCTACCAACAGACAGCAAAACCATGTTACTTGATGCCTTTCTTTACAATCTCTCCCAGAATTGTTCTACCAACAGACAGCAAAACCATGTTAAGTGTTGCCTTTACTTACAGTCTCTCCCAGAATTGTTCTACCAGCAGAAAGCAAAACCATGTTAAGTGTTGCCTTTCTTTACAATCTCTCCCAGAATTGTTCTGCTAAATATTTCAAACTCGCTACCGCCCACCCCTTTTTTTTTTCATGACGAATTACAATATGATCAGAACGGATGACCAATTTTGAATACTGTTTGCTCCTGGGAGACACAACCATTTCCAACACACACACAAAGCTGCCCAACACTTCTTCCCTTCAATTAACGGGATCACGTGGTGGTTGGAGTAAAGCCCCGTTGACAAACCCACCTCGAGATTCTGGCATTTGAGTATGGTACTGTTACTTTTGGCTCATACTGTTACTTTTGGCTCATACTGTTTATGAAGTGAATAGAAAATTACGCTCCCATTAAAAAAAATGCGCTCCCCCTCCCGTGGCGAACAGCCATCTCTTTTCCTTCACCATCGGCCCTCTGGGTGATACTTTCTTTAAAAAACTGATGTCGATTTGACATGGCTGTGTGGAATATTTTGGGGTGCATTTTAAATAGGGTTCAACTAGTGGGGGTGAAAGTCTGGAAATCCCCCCCCCCCCCAACACACACAAACCAGTCGTTCGCATGGGTGCCTCCAGGACTCTGAGTCCAGTCAACCAATGGACGCCTGCAGGACTCGAGTCAACCAATGGGTGCCTCCAGGACTCGAGTCCAGTCAACCAATTGACGCCTGTAGGACTCGAGTCAACCAATGGGTGCCTCCAGGACTCGAGTCCAGTCAACCAATGGGTGCCTCCAGGACTCGAGTCCAGTCAACCAATGGACGCCTGCAGGACTCGTGTCCAGTCAACCAATGGGTGCCTCCAGGACTCCAGTCTAGTCAACCAATGGGTGCCTCAAGGACTCGTCCAGTCAACCAATGGGTGCCTCCAGGACTCGAGTCCAGTCAACCAATGGGTGCCTCCAGGACTCGAGACCAGTCAACCAATGGGTGCCTGCAGGACTCGAGTCAAGTCCAGTCAACCAATGCTATTTAACATTTAATCGCGAAACAAAGACATAACTTAAGAGTTATGACATTTTCAGTAGAATTTATCAGCACCGACCTATCAAAATGTCAGAAGCAGGAAAATATTTCAGTAAGCTTATTTATATTTTTTATGTTTATTTATTTTTAAAAT